TCCATTGAAGAAGTGTTGTATTCAAAATGCACTTAGTAAACACAATAACTCTAATAATCTAACATAATCAGATGTTTCCGTTTTTAAATCCTTTGGAATTAAAATTAATTGGCTAAGTATATTCTTTGATTATGTTCTCTGGTATGAAGTTCTGCTCTTTGTATGCAGAATAAAATCATGTAAATAATATTCTTACTTTTCTTTCAGAGATTCATTAAACATTTATTTGTTTTAGATGACATGGCTTAACCCACCCACTGGGTTTTATTTCTTCTTCTCTATAAAAATGGTAGAAAATCAGCTCTTTGTGCAACCACAGTTTGTTTGTGTGTTTGGAAATCACTTTCGCAATAATCCAGGTTCGAGTTTCCTGGATTTCGGTGCGAAACTTTTACTGGAATGTCCATGCTATAATCTAAACGCACCTTGGTGTTCTTTGCTCGGATCATCATTTAAAAGCACCACAGTTATATAAACGCTTCTTTATGAATGTCCACACAATATGGTCGTGTGCTCAGGAGCTCTACAGAATCCGGGTCAGGGCCCTCAGCTGGTGTAAATGGAATATGATGAGGATCTGGCCCACGATGTGTTCTTTTTGGAAGATATGAGGTGGGAAATCGTTTTTGGAAGATATGAGGTGGGAAATCGGCTGTGCATGCCTATCTGCCAAACCTCTGGCCCACATGACAGGTCATTAAGTAACGGTGTTTAGTAAACCATATGGGTGATTACTGGCATTTCTAGCAGTGACAGGTATGTCTGTGGAGGATCGGTGAGCATAGGACTGTAAAGATCACTATTTTCCTTCCTTGAACACCTTTGCGATGTCCGCTGTACCCTTTCCCTTTGAAACTGACCCACGAAGTATCACAGCATGAAGTACTTTTGTCTTAGGTGGTAGTTACTAATGAATTCCCCCCTCCCCCCCGAGAACTGTCAGCTCATCTCATTTTATCCATGTTGCAAAATTATTGGAAGACAGAAGGGATTAAATCCTGACCTCCCGTAGGCAGAATTTCGCAAAATATGTGGCCCTTGAATCCCATGACGGTACACGTAGCAAAGGGGCAATAAATACTAAAGTCTAGTCTAAATTGTCCCATAGCAGCACTTGTCTTCTTTTGTTGTATAATGTTCAGGGTATTTCTTTTTATACATTATTTTGCACATTCTTCTTTGTCTATAGGGTCAGCAGATAATACCCATTAATTGCAGACTGTGAATAATTACATTTCCCCCCTAAATCCTTTCCTTACGCCATTATTAAGCTGTTTGACGTATGATCTGTAGAAAGTTTGTTGTTTATACCTGGAAAACTACAAAGATCAAAGTATATATATATAGTTAATTCTGATTTACACCAGTTAAGGGACCCAATCATTATATATTTTATATACATGACTTCCTGCCACCCCAGTTTTATGGATTCACAGATATATGATATAAACGTCTCTTAAATTCCATGACCTCCAGTGGTCAAGTCATTTCTGACATAATTTTGCTCTATTCTAAATTATCGCTTAAGAAAAAAATTATTCATACCCGTCTCACCCCAAAATTTGAGCTTATACTGGGCCAGAAATAAAGCGGGCATAGGTACAGCTTTACCTGCTACTCGAAGTACATGTTGTCTTCGGACAGTGCTTAGGGATTCTCGACTAAAGTTCCTAGCCACTAAAATGATATACATAATAAACATGATCATGAGTTACTACAAAGATAAGGAGCCAAATTCCGTGTTTATGGATTCGAATCTCTCCATTTATTCTGGGTTATTTACCAATATTCCTATCCACAGCCCTAGAATCAAGTGCAAAAATTAAGGAAAATACATATTAGCTACTCGCATGTTGCCAAAACATAAAGTCCTCTCCTCCTGTCCCCGCGCAAACAAGGACTTCCGAACTCTTTCTCTAGAAATACTTAAGGGGATAGATTTTCTGTGTGGCATCACCTTAAAGTCAACAAATATGACAGGTCAACAAGGGAAAGGCCGTTTAAGAGTTCTCCGAAGAAGGCCTTATCTCCAGCTCTACATAGCTACCTTGGTATTTATACTTGGCTCTGCGATTTCCAGGTGGCATGCACAGTATTACACAGCGAGGGCAGAGGTCTTCCACAGTGGAGCGGTACCGTGAATTCAAACTGGTGACAAAGAGCAGGATTTGGTTCAAAGTTTGTCCACACTATCTGGTAAATGAGTAGAAACCCATTGAGATCGAATTCTGGGTCAATATAGGAACGAAACTTTCCTTGTTCAGTAGCTTAGAGAGCTTGCATTATTGGAGGATGAAAGTATTTATTTAAAAAAAGTAAGCATGACGTAATGCGCTGGCCCCATTAAAGAATTTATTTTGAAATAGATCTGCCGGTCAAGCCTAGAAGAAAGTTGGTGTCTAATGGATTCAAGGAATCAAATTCTGTTTTGTTTCACACGTGTAAATCCGGAATACCTCCTTAGACTTCCATAGTTAATTCTGATTTACACCAGTGGCGATTTTGGCTCACGATTTGTAATAACCGGGAACTGGGTAAAGAGATTTTCTACTCACTCACTCCATTTTTTCAGGCGATTTAATCAGATGAAATAAACAATCAATTAGATTTTAATTCGTCGAGGAAACGCTAGGCGTGAAAGGTGAGATTTGCCAATGTCAAATTTCAAGGCTGGGTACCATTTTCCACTCTGTTTAGAGAAATTCAGCACTTTCCCCCATTAATCTTTAGCAAAGAAAGCGTTCAGACCGCACCTGAATAAACAATCCAGACTGGGGGGAAAAGAAAACCCTATATGTGCCCCTGATGTGTCGCTCTCACTCTAAATGTATATTGATAGCATGCACTAATAGGTAACTAACGCATAGTATATTCTTGCTGAGAAAGCCCATCGCCTCATCTGATTTCCCCTGCCACTACAGCATTATGTGTAGGACAGAAAGCAAGCACTCAGAGTCAACCCAAGTTCAAGGGATCCAGTTGCAAGTATCATTCGTGTGTTTCAACGGTTCAAGGAATATTGTTGTCAAGTTTCACTTGGAAAGTTTGCCATAAAATATCCTTCTGTTGAGTCACGCCCCTATTGATGAAGACATTTATACAACATTACGGGCCCCCAGAGTAAGACCGCAAAACTCCCGAAGAGCAAATTACAACGTGCTGGGTGAAATTGGTGAGGAAAACAAGGATTGTACCCGGAATTATAGCAAAAGGGGCAGTGGCCATTTTGGTCGACAGATGAATGTATCGAAAAGATTAAGGAGCTAGATTTAAGACAGATCTTTCCACCTGTTGTCACTATCTGATCCCCACATTATCTGCAAACTGAAACATTTATTCTAGTTAATTGTATCCAGACAGGGTCGGGAAGGCCAAAGAATGAAGAAGGGTTGAGTAAATAATAATACTATACCAATACTATACCAATAAAATGAATAATACTATACCAATACTATCAATCGGTTTTGAAAACCAATACTATCGGTTTTGAAGTTTTCATTTTATTGGTATAGTACCTTTTCCAGTGGACAGAGTGTTTAAGCATGATTCTCCCCGCCCCCCACTAGAGAACCTGAGCTGATCTCAGTGAGGAGTTTTGGGTTTTTTATTTTTCCCTTCTCACTTGCGTCTGGTCCCCAACTCATTTGTCTGTGGGTCAGCGGCCCCAGACGCAAAAAAGGTTCCCCACGCCTGTCATACACCTTTGCACCGTGAGTAACCCAGTCACTGCATATAATTCAATGCAAGCAACCTCCATAACAGGTAGACCAGCATTTAAACCAGGGGTGCTACATCCCCGGCAGATGTGGCCTATTGCCTACCATTGCAGAGCCGCCCTCCCCCCCAAAATGGGCCATGCATCTTCGATCTAGCCTTATCCGGCAAGGCTTGACAGTGCCCTTGCAATTTGCTGTAAAACGCTGCTCGCTCTACTGGAGCTGTAGGTCCAAGCCGTTCAGATGGAGCTTTCAGTCCCTCTCAGGCACTGACCCCGCAGGACACTGAGCCGCAGGGAGGACGGGCAGGGTCACCACTGTGATGCTGCGCTCCCGGGGAGAGGCAGTGTCCGCCACCCCCTCCCTCCCCTCTGCAACGGGCACGGCGGAGCGCTGGTAAAACGCTGCTCGCTCTACTGGAGCTGTAGGTCCAAGCCGTTCAGATGGAGCTTTCAGTCCCTCTCAGGCACTGACCCCGCAGGACACTGAGCCGCAGGGAGGACGGGCAGGGTCACCACTGTGATGCTGCGCTCCCGGGGAGAGGCAGTGTCCGCCACCCCCTCCCTCCCCTCTGCAACGGGCACGGCGGAGCGCTGTAGGTCCA